GCCTAATTTCCTGTAACAATAGTCACCGTTTATCTACACTTACCATACGAAACACAGCAGCATTGAGCTGCTTTTCTAAACGGATATTCTGTGGGAGCGTGGTCCTTCACCGGTCGAGCCGAACCATTCGTGATACAACTATAATATAGCCGCAGTATGGCTCCACCACGATTTATCATTACACTAAACATAGGCCTCTCCCATATATCCCATATAGCCATGCGAGAGGCGGCGAGTATTTGCCATAGTTGATGCTGTTGACAGGCAGGTTGGCAACCTCAGTTTTTTATTATTATTTTGAGATGTTATCAGGAAGATGCTTCTGACCATCTTCTGTTTCATTTCTCTCTATGATTCTGTTTATAAACAATTAGTAATCACTATTGTTTGTTACAATAATACTAAACGGTATTTTTATCTTTATTGATTTTTAATTACGGCCTCCTTAAATTGCATAAATCACAAACACACCGATGCAATTTCCACCTGCCCATCAGAATGCGATGCCCGAAGCTATATAGCGGAAAGTGGTTAGTTAGATTTTTCAAAAGGCTGCAGCGACTGTATCTCAATGCGTCGGCGCTTGCGGTGTGACGGAGAGTAAAAGCCAATACGATGTTGCATATCTATATTACCCATTTAAACCTTCGTGACTAGATTAAGTTACTAGATAACCAGTCGTTTACAAATTAAAGCTTGTCCAGAACTAGATTTATCGGAATAGTAACTTGAAATATAACTTGTTTTTACACTTAGGATCAGTTATATTTATAAATTAATAATCCAACGATGTCGATATCGTGTTTTCGTTCCCAACAGCACGTGGATAATTCGAATTAATTTTAAGAAATTCATGTGAAAGAAGACTTAGTTTAGAAATCTAGAATGTTTCGAATAGTTTGAAATCAGTATGCAACATACGAGGAGAGTATTGGCATTCATTTGATTGAGGCGGGAGAAATCGCAGTTCTCTCATTAATGTAAATCGCAAAGGTGCGCACCTCCAGCTAGCAATTTAACACACTGACCCCGTGGGCGACTACATGTAAGAGAACCAGTAGGTATCGTATTAAATTAAACTTACTTATTTAATCATGAAAAGTTTGACCTCAACATTTGTATTGCAATATATTAATGCATGAAAGTATCAATTATTTTAGATAAATTCAGAATAATTAAGATTCTTATTTATTCTGCATTCATCTGAAACAACAAACTTAGGAATATAAAATTTAAATAGGTATAGATTTATAAAAGAACAAAACTTATGATTAAATTGCTTTAAGTTATGAATTATACTACTTAAAGTAAAAGAAATTGTTTGACTTTTAACGATTTTATATTTCGATAAAGTTGCATAATTATATTCAACAATGAAATTATAAGTTAAAACACATTTAGCGGAACGTAACACATATAAAAATATCCTCCATAGATATTCTTTAATATATTCCTTTATAAGCAATTACACCATTGTAATACAAATATAGACTGACACAATGAGCAGTTGGCACCTGATCGTGAATGTCCGTCCCCTTCGTGCCGTTGATCCTCCATAGTCGCATGTCATGTGAGGCCATACATAAGTCGCTGTTGACCATTGGAAAGCAACGCAACAAATTACTATTTCATTCAATGTAAATACTGGAAGCCCGGCCGTTAGTCAAGTCGATGTAAATGCTTCAATTCAAATGCACCTAATAGTTTAGCAGCGAATGAATTAAACTTCTCGGTTTCTCCGGCGTCTTTTGACGGCATGTGTCAATTTATTAATATACTGATATTAAGTGCAGCTTTATTTACTTAGACTATTCAATACAAATGCGTTAGAATATATCTTGAAGTTGAGGGCGACAATTTAACCTAATATTTTTTTCACATAAAATAATACTACAAAGTATGCTAGCAAAAAATTTCCAAACAGAACGGGCAAACTTGATTGTACATTTCATGTCATGTAATTCTTTAAGGGTCTTCTCATTGAAGAACACAAACTTGATGTTTACAGTATGTCAACCAGTACTGGTACGGAGAAGCCTAAATAGCAGGTTCAAGGCATCCGGCTCATTGAATCCGCTGACCTCATCTGATCTGGGCTTGAATGAATTGAACGCGGCCGCACATTTGCTGGGAAGATATTTAATAAATGAATGTATTAGCGTTAAAGTACATTATGCTTACACTTGTTGGTGGTATTAAATATTTCCAATGCAGCTGTGTAAATTGATGAAATTAATATTAATTTTAGATATTAATTAAGTATATAGTATTTTAACTCTTTTCTTGAGATATTTCTAAAAATTGTTGATCAGTGCATAAGTAAAAATGGCAGAAAATAGATTTTTAATTTCTTCGCATACCGCCCGAAGAATATTTAATAAAAAATGAGGCAAAGTAAATCGTGCAATCATGTTGAGTTCATTAATGGGGCACCGAAGCAATATCGCTTCTATCTCATATGCCTATCGGTATCTTTCTATAGTACAAAGTCACGTCCCACTTAAAGGAAGCAATGCGCCAAGTTTCTGTCGCACGACCTTCCAATACAGGTCATAGTGTTATTGTAAAGACTACTAACATAGAGTTTAACCTAGATCGTAAAACACAATAAGCATTTAAGGAATAAAATTTCTTTGCACAAACAACTCGGTACAGTGTTTATCTAAATTTAACTTTATTCCGGATCTATATTGCAAAATAATAAGGGGTCAGATAATCTTTATTAACCTATAAACCATTTCACTGTGGGGTATTGTAGTCGGCCGGCTTACACAGAGCCTGTTCCGACAGATCTATATCAGAATAATTGTTCTACTTGATCATAACTCTTAGCGATTAGAGTTATTGTTTGTAAGAGTTATGTTGAACAAAATGAAGTTAAAATGTGCACCATATGTACACATTTTAACTTCATTTTGTTTAAATTATCGAGAACATTATTGCCGTAAACGGACGATAAATGTACCTAGTAAAATAATAAAAATAGTGAAAGCACTTTAAGACACTAACATATTCACGATTTTTTTAAAATAGATCTGCTTGTATTAGAGTAAATGGAAAGTAAGTTTTAAAAAAGTTAAAAAAAATCATTGATAGCAGATAAAAACTCTCAAGTCTCAAAAAACTACTTAAATGGAAATAGGTTAGAAATAGAAAGAATAAACAACTTAAGTCTACAGATACCTAACAAATTAAAAATAATAATATAATACATTTTTTGGTTGAAGGTTCCATACTCGACACGTTTTTTTTTTACTATGTGAGTTAAACAAATCCTCAGAAACCAGATGCGATTTAAACAGGGGGGGGGTCCTATGTGATTTTGGAAAAAAAAATGGGATAAAGATTTTAATGCAACTGTTAAAACGACATTCTAATTGTTAAATTAAACTGGTGAATATTCTTTGGACGTTTTAAAGAGGTAAAATAATTAAAAATTTAATAAAAAATACAAACCGACTCCAAAACTACGTAATATAATAAAATAAATTGTTTATGCAAAACCTCTTAACCTCACTAATGCTTAAATTTTTGATAAAATTGAAGTTAATTTGTACATATAAACATTAGAAAATCTATACTTACTAATTATGTACCTATCTCACGTCCTTGTCCATAGCACTCCGTGTCACTCAAAATTATAAATGTTATAAATAATAAAAATATGATATAATCAACTAAAAATAAATTTACTTTTTATTAATTAATTGCTTATTATTGACATTTTAAAACTAAGAGTTGTGCAAATTTGTGGCGTTTTCTACCATTTAGTATTTAGATTATCATGATCATACATTTTTCCGATAAATTTCCGACCGATGGGACTGAAATGTTCTCCAGCTGTTGCTTTATACCGGTAATCGAAGAGTAGGATGGACCCTCATTAGATGGATCGACGACCTGGTAATATACGCTGGATGCAAATGCAGATGGGCTCAGAATCGGGTTTTGTGGCAATTGCTTTGTTTAGAAGTGGATTTGTGTGTGGCTATAATAACGATGATGATTTTTACAATATATCTAATAATACATACTATTAACATACTTAATATTTCCCTACCTTTGTAATCGAATATCAATTATAGTCGTATGATTGACTAACAATGTACAGTTTTACTAAACAATATATTTTGTGACAATGTGAAAATAAAGTAACATAAAAAAACGCATAATAATTGTTGGATAGTTGACGTTCAGCTGTAACAAAATACAATTTATTTAGTGTTTTATTTATATTTCACAAAAAATTGTTAAAAGCAATAGGTACCGTTCACGGCAAAGTAGACGAAAAGATGAAATAAACACCGTTACGGACATTGTGTATAGAACGTGAGCGTAACGTACTCGTAATGCAGCTTGCTACCATTCGCTCGCATATTATTTCTGGAGCCGATAAAAACTATCAAAAATCTAATTCGACGTCGCTAGACGGCTTTTCTTAAAATTAATTTCGTGAGGTGGCTATTCCCTAAATTAATTCTAACAATGAAAGTACGCTTATTAAAAGCTTTAGGTAGATACTGTCTTTTAGAGATTGTAATAATAACAGATAATTATAAATCGAGAGTAACAATATTATTATTAGTTTAAAAAAATCTTTGATTATATTCAGCAGCTGTGATGATCCTTGTGATAATACTAGACCACAATTATATCATAGCCAGCCACAGTGAAATTATTGTATTGTCATCGGGTCTTAAAGTGGATGTTAACTGAGTTAGAAAATTAAATTACATTCATACATATTTCATTATTTTATATCATAAATTCATGCTTAATGTAATTTTAACTACGGAATTCAAACTTTATACATTGAGATTTTTATTAGATGACCTAGTATTCTCACTAGGATCATCACAACTCATAGTCATGTCATGGTTTTTAAGGTCTAATCTTATTGCCTCTTATTTATTTTAAACTTCAAATAATACGATGTAGTTTAGTTAATAATGTTTATTTTGTTACAGTAAATGAAGAAAAGGACTACTTCCGAGACCAAAATGCGGATTCTATTTAGTTTATTATTAGTAGTTAGCACAGCTAATGCTGCAAAAAAATTTGAGGGGACATTAAGATCAGCAGCAGAGGCACCGCCTCAAGACAACCTGGCAGTAGAATCCGGTTCACCAGAACCAGCTGTAGTTGATGCACCTCAGGGATATAAGAACCCGGGAGCCCCACCCCCCTCTCCTCCATCTAAGCCAGAAGCAGCGGAAGGGCCTCAAGAGTCACAAGAGCTACAAGAACCACAAGAGACACAAAAGCCAGAAGAACCACAAGCGCCACAAGAGCCAGCTACTGCCCCGGAAACGGCGTCAGGAGCCTTACCTCCTTCAGCGCCTAGCGGTATTTCGGCGCCGTCTGCACCTGCTAACTCTCTCGAAGAATGCGACTCAGAGATGATTGGATTCGAGCTTGTTACTGGGTAATTAGTTTTATCACTATTTTAATTATAATATATAAAATAAATCCATTTTTAACCAAAATAACCATCCTTATTTAAACAAAACTTTTATACTTAAAATAAAACTTATGTATATTTTCACGTGTGTGGACAGATACGTGTTTTCGGCACCATCACATATCCTTGACGATATTCCTGGCACCCTCATGCTGACAGATTGCTTGGAACAATGTCAGGCAAACGATACATGCCGCGCTGTTAACTACGAAACAGGCCTGTGTGTGCTTTTCAGTTCTGATGCTGACCAATTACCAGGTGAGACTATAACAAAATCAATCATTAGTAATTATGCTTCGATACAACACGTGCTGTGGACTTGAAACAGTTTCCAAGCCCCTGCTTAGTCATATAGGCGATAGAACTACAAATGATTTTTTTTGTTTCGCCAAAATATTAACGATATCAGCATGACCATGCAGCTTTGACAGAATAAGTTAAATATGTACTCTACTGGTTCCGATTTTTTTAAACATACTTATACACCTTGCCTTGAACTGACCTAATTACTGTCACTATATTTACGTGATAAAAATATGAATGAATTATTAATAACATTTTTCTGCTTGTCCATTTAGAATTACAAGGTTCATTTTTTTGCATGATTATGATTTTACGTTTCATTAAACGTAATTATGATTAATGTTCTTTGATATTTTTGAATTAACAACACACAATTTAACAAAAAATAATGATTAGCGTAATAATACGTTCAAAAGTATCGTTACATAAAACATTTCTAATTTAATTTATTAATTTTTCTTAATGATAAGTAACATTTGACTTCTTTATTTCGAAATGCAATGGTAATTTTTTTTTACAAAATATTGTTATACAACAACAAAATATTGAACAAAATACGGGTAGCACGCAATTTAACAACAAATGATACTACAACAAATTTTCATTTCATTACAGGAGCTTTGACAAAATCACAATTCCCCGTTTTCACAATCTATGCACAAAAATCATGTATGGGCGTGCGACCATGTGAACGTGCATGGTGCTTCGACCGAGTCCGCGGCTATCACCTCAAGGGCCGAGGCAAAAGAACACACACTGTAGGCTCCAGGCAAATGTGCTTGGATTTATGCCTGGGTGAAAATGAATTTTCATGCAGGTTTGTTAACAATTTCTTTGCGCACAATTTTTTTTCATCCATCCATTCATTACAGAGCATAAAGGTCCGGTGCTGAACATAGGCCTCCCCACAGATTCCCCCCTTCAAGGAGAGATTTTGCCATAGTTGCCACGCTTTGCAAACGGGCTGGCAACAGCAGTTTTTTATTAAGTTATTATCACGAAGATGCTGCTGCTCATCTCCTGTTCCAGTTTCCCTCTGTCGCCTCTTAAGACATTTACGGGGTGATATGGGGTAGTGGATATTCATACACCGTCACTAAACAGTGAATTTGTTTTAGAACATATTTTTTTAAACTATATTACACTTACGTGTAAAAAAATTATATATAAATTCACTTCCATGCCTACAAGTACTAAATCCTTCTAGATTTTAAAGCTTGTCTTAAATTTAATAATGTAATGAGGGTAAAATTAAAAAAATAGCATCCGCCTGATAGGCCTGCATTTAATTGCTAAACCTTTTAAGTAGATAGCTAATAGCCGTTAACATTTATAAATAAAGCAGAGAATGTATCTACAAAAACAACAATCTGAGCGGATTAATGGCTAATTAGGAATCCTCGTGATGTTTTTGTGTAAGCCGTTTAAATGAAATCGAAGGAGCACTAAAATAAAATAAAATAAAAGTAATTAAAACTCAATGAAAGCGCCACTAACGATAAACACTTAGGTCGGAGATTTGTAAATATTTTTTTCTTTCGTTATTTGCCGTTGACTTAATCTTAGTATAAAAAAAATTTGTGTAATTTTAAATAGAACATATCTGTAAAGATGAAAAGAATAATTTGCGATCAAGGAAGATTTTGAATCATATTTTTTTATTCATTTCTAAAATTACGTCAAGGTTACAAGCAATTTTTCCTAAAAATCCAAAGTGACAAGACAAAGTAGGCATTCAATTGTAAAACTTGTCTACGCTTGAGATAAGATATACAGTTTATCCTATCGAGTTTATATATAATAATACTCTCAAATGGTTACAAAATTATTATTCTATCAATCTAATTTTTAGACATTGGATGTAACTTTTAAACCATTTTATCATACAAGAGTATTAAAATCTTCCTATAATGTCAAAAATTATATATGATTCCATAATTATTAACAATGAAACCAATACGTGACAAATAAAGCAAAGCGATGTTATTTGGCCTTTGAATCATAAAATCATGCAAGTACGCGTAGTAAGTGACCATTCGCCACGTGTCCCGTTGGGTGCAAATCGTCGTATCTCCATTGAAGCTGGCGAACGCCCAAGTGCACCCCAGGCGGCACATCGCGATCTTCGGCAGTCACGACATTTGGCAAATATTCCCCGACGTGGCGAACGATATACAGCACGGTGTGGGAGCGCTTTGCCCTATCACTTCCTACTTTCACAATACAATAACTAGTAAATCACAGCTTCGCAGCTTTATACTAAAACCAATTTCCATTTAGTTTTATAAAATTTCAAACTTTATTAAAATATATGCAAATCGAGGATAGATGTAGATGTCTAGGGACCATAGCATCCACTTACCATCAGGTAGGCTGTGTGCTTGCTTGTCACCCTTATTCTTTAAAAAAAAGTCATAATTATTATGGTACATAATAAGTCATACATTTTTACAACGTATCTACACGAACAATCCGTGGTCATTTGAAACGGACGGAACAGGTGCCTACTTAAATAAGGATCTCAGAAAACGAGCCACAAGATAAAATATGTAACATTTGATGCTGAACTGTGTCTATTTGAAATCTCAGATTAAACTAGCTTAATAAAAATATTAAATATATAATTAATGCATTGCATAAATATTGGATTTTCGACCTCCGGTCTTTGTAATTATGGACCCAAACTCATCAGATAATTTGGTGATTCAACTTCTCGTTTGTCTAGCGCATGTATAAATTAAAGTAAAGAAAAACATTTAAGCTAAATGTCTATCGATACAAGACAAAAAAGGAAGTCAAAGCTAAAAGTAAAAGCATTTACTGTTCGAGACAAGATACTTGGTAAGACTACTTTCCTTGCGTTAATATGATGACAAAGAATGTGAAAATCGTGTTACTTAGAATATGGCATTCTCGGGGCGACATTTGTAACTACATTTTTCTTCAGGTTAGGAAGGTCAGAACTACTTGTAAATCATTAAAAATATGGAACACTATTAACGAATATAATATTATCCTGCTGTTTTTTGAACTGAACTTTGCTAGAAATGTAATCCCTAAACAAATGGCATTACAAAACATAATTTTAAAAACCAATGGTTTGAGGTTGTCATAAGTAGCAACTTTGGTAACAGAATCAAGGAAAACCAGTAATTTCTAATACTTGATTACAAAATAACTTAAAGGAAACAAATTTTACAGATTTTATTGCGTTATATTTAAAATTCATGACATTTCAGGCGCTTTAAAGCGGGATAGCAATTATAAACACATTCGCAATCACCTTTGTAATATAAAGTACACGTCATTTAGGGTATATTTCTATAACATGACATGATAAATAAAGTCTTTTTAGTCAGTCTAAAAAGCAATAAATAAATAAAACATAATATTGACTTTTATTTTATTGGGTATTATATTCTAATCTATATTGAATAAATAAGCTTACATTTCTATTTCTAAAAGAGTAATGTCCTCGATTTCTCAACGTTGATACTGACGGTGGATATTTGCGATTTGTAGGATTATAAGTCTATGTCAATGTGAATATGCTAAGAAGTAAAAACAAAATAATCCTTTTTCTGGTATTTTCAATTAAAGAAATAATACTAGTAGCAATGAATTGTAAACTGTAGTTAGATACGGTGAGTTAGAATCGAATAAAGTACGAGTAGTTTCATTCTTATGTATTTTTTTCTTTAGATACGAAATAATGCTCTATATTACTTGGTAAGGTATTATTTTTAGGAACAATTTTATCGAATATTTAAGAACAGAAACAATTGTGACATAGGCCTCTCCACACGGAATAAACTATATCATATTATGCAGCGCACACATTAACTATATTTTAAGAAGCTGTTTGTATTTTTGCAGATCGGCCAATTACAATAACAAAACCGGAGAATGTGTTCTATCCAACATGGATCGTATCACTTTGGCTGGGACTAACTCATTCCAACCCAACGAAGGTATTTAATTCAATAATATTTACACATAAATTGAAGTGTCTGTCTGTAACATCAAAATAACTGTCTTATATTGTACTCAGGGGGTTATTTGCACGCTACTAAGATATAAACAACCATTTTTAAAATTCATAGCTGGACAGAAAATTCATGACTGCACATTCACATGGTGGGACAGATAGTCTGTGTCTGTCTGTCTGACCAGCCTAATCTTTGAGCGACTGAACTGATCATAATGAAACTTCAAGAAAAGATAGAGAACAATGCTACAAGTGATCTAGGCTTTATTTTTTCCTTAATACTTTTATTGATTTTTAAAATCATTTTTTCTTTTTAAATATCTTTGATAACCTAAATAACGCCACATTCATAGATCCTACTACTAAAACCCACAAATAAAATTAATCTAATAATCTTGTATTAAAAAAATTGTTTTAGATACTGACTATTTAGAAAATAATTGCGTAGAGGAGCCAACGAAATTGTGTGAGTTCAAGAAAATGGGTGGTCGCATTTTGAAAACAGTTGACTCCGTATATCAGGATGTACAAACAATTGAGGAATGCCGGGAGTTGTGTCTAAACTCGCCTTTCCGTTGCCACTCATACGATCATGGCGACACGGGAGATAATGTTTGCCGACTCTCTCACCATTCGCGTGCTACTCTTGTTGATATTCAGGTATTTTTCCACGCATACTTCTTTTATAATTCATATACATACACTTAAGTAATGTCATGTTCTATGATTTTTTTAAATAATTGATATTTTAGGATCCTTACTTGGAAGTCCCTGAAGCTGCAACATATGAACTCTCTTCATGTTATAATGTTTCAATTGACTGTCGTTCTGGTGATATGGTGGCTCGTATTCAGACTTCAAAATTATTTGATGGCAAAATCTACGCAAAGGGCAGTCCGAACTCGTGCGTGGTCGACGTTAAGCAAAGTCTAGAGTTTGAACTACATATGGGTTATGACAACATTGAATGCAATGTTAAACAAAACGGGCTAGGAAGGTAAGGATAACTAGTTCCAAAAAAAAAAAAATTATACCTGTGGAATATGATTAAATTTAAAGTTTTTTTACAGATATTTGAACGACGTTGTAATCCAACACCACGATACAATTGTAACGTCATCTGATCTCGGTCTAGCTGTAACCTGTCAATACGACCTGACAAACAAAACAGTGGCGAACGAGGTTGATCTTGGAATCCATGGCGACATTCATACTGGCCTTACTGAAGAGGTTATTGTCGATTCACCCAACGTGGCTATGAGAATCACCGACAGGAACGGTGATGATACTATTTCTTCCGCCGAAGTTGGAGATCCTTTGGTATATGCAATTTCAATATTTTTATTTGTTATCTTATTTGATGATGGATTTTTTCTAATTTATTTTTTTATTTCAGGCACTTCGTTTCGAAATTATGGATCAAAACTCTCCTTTCGAAATATTTGTTCGAGAACTTGTCGCAATGGACGGGGTCGATTCCAGCGAAATTACTCTTATCGACAGCGATGGTTGCCCCACCGATCACTTCATTATGGGTCCTTTGTTCAAATCTGCACCGAGTGGAAAGGTATTTATGGCATTTTTGAAATAAATTTGCAAATAAAATAAAAATCTGAAAATAAACTTGTTATATAAATCCGTACTTTAAAACTCGTTAAGCTTTAAGTTAACCAGCTAATTTGCACAAGTGACTTTTATTACATATTATAAAATTATTTGCTTTCAGATGCTCTTATCTCATTTCGACGCATTCAAATTCCCGTCATCGGAAGTAGTACAGTTCCGTGCTTTAGTCACTCCTTGCATGCCGACGTGCGAACCGGTTCAGTGCGATAGCGGTCCGAATGAATTTCGCTCAGTCATGTCTTACGGGCGAAGGAAACGGCGTTCGACTCCAGCTTCTCCAACTGAAAAAATGCTTCTCGTTCAGAATATTCAAGTCACTGACAAGTTTGGTTTCGATAAACAACGAGCAAAGAACGTTACTGACGACACAGTATATATAAGAGAGACTGATGTAACTTGTGTCAACGCAGCAGGAGCTATGCTAGCAGCAGCTGCCTTCTTAGCTGCTCAACTGGTTGTACTTGCAGCGTGGACTTGTAGCTGGCAGCGTCGCCGTGCAGCGGCTAAAGCTGCCGAACTACTTCCTGGACCTAACGCTCCTTCCGCTCTTTGCAAAGTCTACGATCCTAGCTTTTCTCGCGCGCATCAGAGGCACTTTTGAGTAGTTAGGCATGTCGGCGTGATCAGCGTTCGCAATAATAGTTATATTACGTTAGTATAAAAGCCCCCGTCGAGTCTTAGCTCTGGAAGACAGCATTGTTTACAAATGTAACAAAGTTGTCTTTCCTGTAGCACAAGACAAAGATAGCGGATTAAATGGTAGTGTCCAAGCGTTCCCGCACCAAGTGCTACGTACGGGCAAAGGGTGCGGCTCAACGCGACACGGAGAAGGGGACGACCAAAAGAGCGTGTGTGACTGAGGAAGGATGTGAGAGACGACAAGTAATGTCTTTTCTGATTGAAAGTTGTATGGAATCGCTCGCTTGTCCCCATCTCTGGAGTTGTCAATGGGATGCAGCCGTAAGTTTTATCAAGATCACATCGCTCATTCGCTCACTTTACGCACGGTTGACCGCCCAGCGGGGGTCTAGTGACGTATTGTACCATATTTTTTTAAAGTAGCATAAGCCTGATTTTAATTGTAGAAATAATTTGAAAATAAAATTTCTGTACCTTTTAAGTAGAAACCGAACGTGCGACCTAAGTCAAGAAGCGATGGATTGACGGCCATCCCAACATCGTAATTTATTCAAACTAGGATAGTTTCTTTATTACTTACTTAAATTATATTTGAACATGATATATATATACATATATATATATATATATATATATATATATATATATATATATATATATAATAAAAACTTAAAATTAAAAAGTAAGAGTTTATAGGTGCCTAATAATTGCTTAGGTACAATTTAAATGACAATTATTATCATTATATTTAAAACAAAAGTATTCAATACGATACTAGTGCCTTATTGAAAATTTGTAATAATAAAATCCTAAAATTTTAATGAATAATTACAACCATCTGAATAAATATTACCAACAATAAAAACGTAAACAATTATTGTTATTTTATTTTACAACCCTTATATTACTACAAAATCCTAAAATTATATAAAAGTAGTAAATCTAAGCTAAGCCCTAAACTAAAGGGGAATAATACCAACAAGTAAACACTTAAAGGCTTATTACGCCTTGGGAGAGTCCTACATGGTTATGAAGATAGGTTAAAATCTTAAATAAATATTGAGGTAGCTATATTTTTTATGGAATAAGGGTAACAAACGAGCACACATTCCACCTGATGGTAAGTGGAAGCTACAACCCATAGACATCCGAATTAATCCTCAATTGAGAATCAAAAGCCTATCCAACTGCAAAGAGGTGTAAGAAAGGCTGACGTTATATTCCCGAAACTCTTCACTGCTGTATTGGAAGACGTATTCAAACTACTGGACCGGAAACGATACGGTATTAACGTCAATGGCGAGTACACTCACATTTGATTTGCCGACGATATAGTCCTTATGGCAGATTCACTGGAGGACCTAAGCACTATTATGCTCATCTTAACGTTGGTTTTCTGTTAGAGAAATAGTAATACTTTAAGTCTTTTGATAAATTCGAGAAAGGAAATACTTTTGTCTTAGTCCAAAAGACACATCAATAGTAGTACGAGTGAAGGTTCCAAATTTCAATACAATGGCTAAGACAAAAGAAAATCCGTTAAAAATTCTGATATGACTAGGTGGCACTTTTTATTACTTTAGTAAAATAATAAGGGATACAGCCTATTAAAACAAATATTTACTGTATATCATAGAACTATCATAACTTCGCTTAAATCGCTGAAGAACCTATCAATATATATATATATATATATATATATATATATATATATATATATATATATATAATCTTACTAGTGTCTCCTAATCCCAACGGATAGGTATTAATTGAACATACACATAACAAAGGTCATGGGTGACGTTCATGTCACACCTACGCCGGTAGTTGTCGGAAAAAATGCACTCCAAGTTGTCGACGAGTATGTTTACCTAGGACAAATTGCCCCAATAGGTAAGTCGCACTTCGACCGACAGGTCAATCGACGGATTCTGTTGCTGTACTGTTCGCAGTTTAGGAGATTACGACACATCTTATCACGTATATTTATCTATACATACGGCAATCCTCAACTGGAGGGAGTGACGACCTGGTAAAAAATGGTACTCAGTACCATGTTTCATGGCATTCCTATGTTCAGCAGCGGAGTTGTGAAATGCGGTAATACTGATCTTAACTCATATTTTATATTATAAATCCTTCCAAAAAACTCCGTATGAATTACGAGAATATACAAAAAACTAAGCCGTTTCTATCCTTAAACTTGACTTATTAGCAACATTATCAATATCAAACTGTCGTTGACTAAACCAGTAATTAGAAAAAAAAATTTAACTTCTTAAACCATTTAAGCCATATCCCCTAGGATTCAATAAAAAAGGCGTCTTAGACCTTACCTAATGGGCCTTTTTATACAATAAATGTGACAAACGAGCACACATGCCACCTGATAGTAAATGGATGTTGCGACCCATAGGCATTTATCCTCAATTAAGAATCAAAATGAAGATGCGCTTTTACCCCTTATGACTGAAATGGAATGCCTCGTTTCCAGTAAAATGTGACTCCAGTTCTCTACACTCGCCATATGAAACACAGCAGCATTAAGCTTCTATTTTATTCTGTGAGAACGTGGTCCTCCCCCGGTCGAGTCGACCCTTTCGTGCTGGAACCATAATATAGCTGCAGCGTTGCTCTACCACGTACTAAGAGTCTCCAGCAGTTGAAAAAACATGATTTATAAGTGGCACAAACCGTATGATGGTGGCATGAGAATATCCACTTTCCGTATCGTCCCGTGGATATAGTAAGATGCGGCAGAGGAAAATTGAATCCACCTCCTGATAATTTGCGTTTCTTGTTTTTATGTTTACCATGTTTTTAAATATTTGATTAGCAATAACGTCCCTAACGTAAGCATATTTCACGTTTGACAAATGATATTGTATAGCAGAATCGCGGTGGGAACTTTAAGACACGTTTAACAGTCGGAATAAATCCTCCTGACGTGTTAGTTTTTTTATAGAATAATGGTGATAAACGAGTACACAGTCTACTTGATGGTAAGTGACTTCTGTGGCCCATAGACATCTACATTTATTCTCGATTAAGAATCAAAATGCAGATGAGTTGTCACCCATGAGGACTAAGATGGAATGTCACATTTACAGTAAAAAAGGGTCTACGGATCTCTACACTCACCATACGAAACACTACAGTATTAAGCTGCTATTGTGTGAGAGCGTGGTCCTTCCCCGGTCGACCCGACCCATACGTGCTACAACCATAATATAGCTGCAGTGTGGCTCTACCACATATAATTATATATTAAATTTAACATAATGAAATCTCTGTCTAATTGTCTTTTATTGAGCTGGAGAAGTTATTGGCATTCCATTAAGATATGAGAAACCATTTAAAAAAAGTCTATCTATAAGTCTGTCTGTCTCACCCATAACTTGCCTTAAAGGGCATTGAGGAATTTTGCCATATTTGCCACGCTTGGGTCGTGGTTTGAAAACCGCATTTTATTATTTTGAGTTGGTGTCAGGAAGATGCTGCTGCCCTCTCCTGTTTTAGTTTCTTTCTGTTGTCTCTTACCTAAATATAGGGTTCTACCGTACCCCTTCCCTACACTACACGGTACTTCTTTAAATAAAGAGTATTTTTAAACCTTAAGAATAATAAATATACAAAAATAATTACCAAAATAATGAATAACTACCCATCTATAAATAACATAGATAGGTAAACTCAAACTCAAACATTTTATTGCGTTCATGTGGTTACATAAGCTAGTTATCCATTATTACTACTATAAATGACTTCACATTAGTAGATCCCACCCAGGAGATGCCGGGGCGGAGACTAAGAATGTAATCGTCGTTGCGTCCGTTAGTGATCGTATAATTTTTAACGACTCTACAGATTGAGGTTAAATTTACACAATATATTAATTTTGACATGGCGATGCTTCATAGCCTAGTATCCTAGGATCAGACAAGAGGTGCTGTGGTCCAGTTGTTAACAATTTTTATATTTAAATATACCTACGTTTGTTTGGAGCCAAAAAAGAAACACAGATTTTCGACACTGGGTCCAGAATTTGTGTTTCTTTTGTGGTGTCGTTGTGGCAGTTATTAAGAAAATAATATTGAGTCCTGATTTAAACTCATCGCACCAACAAGAACGATAAGAATAACATCCGCCGAGCCAGCTTTAGTATATGCAACTCTAGTAGATTTTGTCGTAAGGTAGAAATAACCTCTAAACTTTACATAGAATTTCGTCGCTCGTAGTCAAAAACCTGAACTTTTTGGGAGACTTTTCTCGTTGAAGATCGAAGTAATTACCTGTGTTAACCAATGATGCCGAAACGTATATATACTGACGATACGGCTACTTTAAAAGACAAAAGTTGCTAAGTGTGCGATGGAGATTAATAATAAAAAAATCTGTTGGTGAACTAAGGTCATCCACATAGCTTTACATGTATGTATGCAAACTGAAGTAACAATGGGTTGGTCAAATATGTCCCAGTAGTGACTACTGTTGGCGTAGGCTTATCATGGAACCATGGAACAACCTTTAGACATACGTAATGTTGGGACATTCGATTGAATGGCGATCTACGGAAGGTTGCTACTAGCAACCAGACTATGTAAGCCAAAATGTAAGCCAAAGTTCGGGCTCAGTGGTGTATCTTAGGAAAATCCTTCGTTCAGCGTAAGACTGACGCACGATGATGATGATGATGAACACATTCGATTCCGACCTTAAATACGACATTTTTCTAAAATAATTGAACGCAGTTTTTATTTTCTACAAAATTGATGACGAAGGGCCTTTGAGAATATTTATCTGACTTTCTTTAGATTTTTCATCTCAACGTATTATTTTATACGTTTATTCGTTATAACGTCATTATGTATAAAAAATTAAACGTAATTCTTTCAGAGTGGTCCTTGTAAAGAAATTTATGACAGTCAAATATTCTTGTAAATGGGCTGTTTTCGTCACAGG